CAGCATCCCCAAAAATACAGGGGTGTTTGTGTGTGGTAATATATCAGCACAGCCCCCACTGCAGGGCCGCCCTGCTCCCCCTGCTCCCTGCGGCCGGGAAAGAGCAGCATCTCCAAAAATACAGGCGTGTTTGTGTGTGGTAATATACCTCTCTTCATTCCTGAAAAAAACCCCAAAACAACACTAAACCAAGAAAATGAGGAATTTTGTGGGGGGTTTTTTAGATTACTTTTAGGTCTTGCCTCAATATCTGTCCTGGAAGGAAGGAAAATTCATCCCAGTACTTTATTTTTTCTTTCCCTTCCTCTTCAGCTTCTTTTGACTCCCTTTACACTCCATTTTTCCACTTCATAGCTATACCTCCTTCCAAACAAAACCTTGTTGAAACCTCATCAGTCTTTCTCTTTTTTTCAAAACCAATGTCTCAGCAACCATTCAGTTAAAAGCAGAAAAAAAAGGTAAAAAATTTACCATCTCCAGCCCTTTATTGCACTTTTCCAGTACAAAGAATACTCAACACCTCTCTCTCTCTCAGGAACCAACAATATGACAGCCTTCTGTTCCCTTGTTCTTTCCAAGTATTTCCCAGGTATCTCTTAATTTGAGGACTAAATTTACTAGGAAGAGACATGCTTAGTAGACATACAAGAATCAGAAGGGTTCAGAGGGAAGGCACTAATGAGAAGCCTGGTCTGCCAGCAACCATCTGTTCTGGAGAAGGAAACAAAGCCACAGATTGCTCCCAGGCAGCTCCCGCAGACGCTACTTGAGGACTATTTCTAGCTTGTGGCTAGAAGGTGTCCAATAAATTGACAATTTTGCTTCTTCCCACAGAGTTTTCTGATTAGCAGCACTGAAATTACTGTTATTTTCACTTGATGAGTATCGTAGCCAAGTGTGTGGGTTTGGGGTTTTTTGGGGGGGAATTACAGCCAGATGATTGGATGCTGAGCCCTGTAGGCAAAAATTTTGCTTACATGTATTTTAACAGTTTTTAACTACTCTCCTACTACTACACATTACCTTATTTTCTAACTTTACTAGACATTTCTGTACGTCATTAAATGCTCGTTCCATTTAGAAGGAAAGAGTCTAAATAAGTCACAGAAATAAAAAGCAATCACCTCTTACTAAGGAAGATAGGATCAGCAGAAATTCTTTCTGTAGGAATAGGATTTGAAAATACATCATTTTGTACAGCAAACTTTTCTGTGTAAAACCTGCATTAAGCCTGAGAAATAACATGAAACCAGTTTAAACTCACATCCTAGACCAGGCCTATTTCTGAACAATTCCTAAAGCTGGTAGCACCTTGACAATTATGTCAAAGGGATCAGTTTGGGATGATGTTTGCGCGTTTTACATAATTACCAAATAAATGCACTGAACACCAGTGTTGAATCCTGCAGTTTGTTCAGCAAGTGACTTTGGACAGAAAAGGAATAGAGAACTTTGCAGGTGCCGCCGGCGATCTCCATCTCGAACAGCTCTCCTGAATCGGGACGCTGCATCTGACCCCAGACCAACAGAGTGAGAACCCTCACAATTTTAAGCTGATATAAAATATTCACTGATTAATTCACCCCCTTCACCCTTTTTGTGCCGCCAGGCCGCCCCTCGGGCTCTACGCCCCGCACCCGGGGCCGCTCCCGGCGCTCCGCGCCCCCGCCCGGACCCCGCCGTGCCGCCGTCCCCTCCCGCCCCCGGCGCTCCGCCGCCCAAAGCCCGGCCGGGCTCGGGGCCCCCCGGGCTGCTCCGCGCCCCCCGGCCCGGGGCCTGCGGGCAGCAGCGTGCCCGGCCGCTGCAGGGGCTGCGTACAGATTGTTCACCTGATGCGAGCTTCGAGTGCCGCTTCTTGTTGCCGAGCCTTATGTTGCATGCATATGGTAGCTGCCAGCAGAAGAGGATAACGCATTTTGGGCTGTAGCTTAAAAGTTTACCAATGCTCCCTTGCTTCTCCCTGCTTGAGGGGTTTTATTCGTTTGAGTGGAGAGGAAATGGTAGAGATATGTATTTGTCGGGTGAATGTCGGCTTAGGAACTTGAAAGCAGTCGGAAGGTCTTATTTGTTTGTTTTATGTGAGGTTATAAACCCTGTTACAGGTATAAATTGGCCGTTATTATTATCATTACTGTTTTTATAGAGGCACAGATGTCTGGGTGCTGTGAAGAGGGCCAGACCTCAGTGGTGTGTAGCTGCAATAAACTCGGTGTTGCAGAGTGGCTCGTGGGGTGGCTTTGGAGGCACATGCAGCTGGCACGAGACAGGCTTGGCTCCCAAAATGACACTGCATCTGTAACTGCCGGGTGGCTGTTGGACAATCTCACATCTACAGCTGGTGGATTTTAAGGCTATTGATGCTGGATGTTTCTGTTTCCTCAGCTCAGTGCTGTGGCCAAAGAGGTGGTGGTGCTTTTGAGGAACTGTATTTGTTTTCTGTGGGCACGGGCGGCTGAAGCACCCCTTCCCTCACCTCTCTGAGGTATGTGGCATGTGTTGTGTGGCTCCTGGCCACATGAAGGTTTTGGTATGCAGCTCGTGGGATCAGCAGTCTTGGCCCATTTTGGTATGTGCACAGGTGCTGTTTGTGTATCGTGGGTACCAACATGATTTTGCACTTGGCTCAAGTCTTCTACCGGGCAATGTTTCTGCAGAGGATAAAGCTGGACCCTTCTGTAAAGAATGGCGTGTTTTCCAAGTTCAAGACTTGCAGAAGGTTTTTCTTTGTTCCTGTATTTTCTGTTCTTTGTTTCCCAGCAGAACTTTCTAGGTATTTAATGTATGGTTGTGATGAAGGTGTGTTTCGGGTCAGTGTAGGTGTTCCTGGTGCTTGGAGGAGCCAGGCTGGGAGCAGCTCAGAGCCACTGCTTTCCACAGCCTCTTGTGGTGCTGCTTCCTTGGTGGGTGTAAGGCAGGAGTGCTTCCTCTGGCCGCTCTCACTCTGCATCAGGAGTTGCTCAGGGTGGTTAGGAAGCTGGAAACGATGCATATGGGGAATATTTATCCGGGTGAAAGTCTGTTCTGAGATTCTGAAATTTTGGCTGACAGGTAAATAATCTCTCATAAAATGTAATAAGGCAAATGTGCGCTACTGACGTGTAAAAGTGAAATCTAGGTTTCTCTGCTTCTTGAGTGTCAGCTTGGATTTGGTCACTGGCATCTTATTTTTCTGAGGGTGTGCTGTCTCCAGCTTGAGATCTTTATTCCCTACTTCTTCCCACTATTATTATTGTTCAACACCCCTTCTGCCTCAGTGTACAAATGGTGGCCAGTTTTTCTTTGCAGCAGAACAATTGTATTTTTCTGTCCCAAGTAAGCTTTTCTATAAACGTGACACTGACAGTCATTTTAAATGGTGCCACTTGCCTTACTCAAAACAGGGTTATGTCAAGAGAAATTGTGCTGCTGCTGCTTTTGTTTATGTGGTAGTACTGTAATAGGAAAAGACTTGTTCTTGGTACAATGAATGCTGGTACACCAGAAATCCTGCTAATGATAGTGATTAATGCGTGCTGCTCAAAATAGCTATCACTGCTGATATGACTAATTGTGCTGTATGAAAAGAGCTCCTTTATTCCCAGTGATCTCAAGGTGTTTCTGGAGTTCTAGAGAAGTGTCTGATCAGTGCAGACAGATAGCTGCACAGGGAGATACAGAACTTGCTGGAGTGTGGCAGCTCTCGGGAGCTTGCTGCTGTGCTGCAGAGCCAGTCAGGGCTGAGAATGAGTATTTTCTTGTGGTGATTGTAGGTAGATAGAATACTCTTACAGGAATTGGGTGTTAGCCAGTGCAACAACCTACGTGTTGCAAACAATGCCAGGGTATTGTTAGTAGCTACAGAAGGGGTTTATATTGTACATGAAAGATGACATTTCCAGCAGCATGGGTAACCTCATCACAGGGCACTGTGCTGGAGCTGGCTCTGGGGGCCACTGGAGCTGCTGCACTTGACAAAAATCTGTGTTGTAATTGCTCTGCTCCTCCTAGAGCTTGGTGATGTGTCTGGATACTCTTCCCAGGCCTTTGGGCATCCAGTGATGGTGACAAGCTGCAGGCAATCCCATGCTGCTGGGCCATGGCACATTCCAGGCTCTGTTTGAATTTTGTATGTGCTGGAAACTTAGTGGGGGCTGTGGATCTAAACCATAGGAGGTCCTGTGTCTTGATACCTGTAAAATCTGAAATTCTGGCTTGTAGGATGAAAAAATGTTTTGAAAATTAAGTAGAGTATGTTAAAGATAGGTTTCACAGTCGCTGACAAGAAGCTTGAAGTTGTGTTTGTTGCACCTCTGGCTTTGTAAAGTTTCTTCTCTTCTGCTGTTCATGTACCTCAAGACAATTTTACATTAGGAGTTGTTTAAACATTTGTCCTTTCAGCCATCAAAGAAACACTTGAGGTGTGTGTGAGGGAATAGGACACATTCCATTCACAAATTCTGCTTTGCAGGTTAATTGCCAATTTGGTCTGATGGGATTCCAGTCTTGTAGTGTGCTGTGGATAAACTGGTTTAGTCCAGTCCCTTGAATTTTGTCAAAACTGTGATTAAAACAAGGAGAGAAAAAAAAAGACTTTTAAAATGGAACTTCAAAATTATACTTTTGGTGGTAGTGAGGTGTGTTTCACTTTGAAGAGCTGTAATGTGACTAGACAAATTGTTTTGAGAACTGTGGTCTTGGAATGTCAGTCTTGTCTTACCCTGCTGTAATTAATGAATTAGTGTATTGGCTACTTAAGATAAATTTTGGGGAATTGATCTGTGTGATTCTGTTAAGGTCACAAGCTTTGTGAGGCAAACCATCTTCCAGGGATTCAGGCTGGAGTGCTTTGGAGTAAAAGAAAAAGGAGTGAGTGTGTGTGAGAAAAAGCAGAATAGAAGGTTTAGAAATGCTGGTCAAGCTTTGAAGAATGACAGAAAAGAGCTGAAAAGGGGAATGCAAAGGACCCCAGGTACAGCTGGGGGAGTCCTGGGATGTCTGTGAGTGTGTGGGTGGGTCTGAGGTGGGAGTAGCTGAGGCTCTGTGAGCCTTTCAGGCATCTTTGAGAGGCTGTGCAGCACGTCAGGCATTTTCCCAGCTGTGATACTGCATTCCATCGATGGCAAATTGGCTTCAGTCTGGTGATAACATACGGCAGCTTATCCAACTCCAGTTGGAAGTGTGATATTCTAGGACTTGGCTTTGAAGAACCATTTGCACTAAGGAAATAAATATTCTTCCTTCTAAGGAAAGCCCTCATAGGAGAGCATGATAGCACTGGCAGATAGAATTTTTACTGTATTAGCTAAAAAGCAAACCAAAAACTTTAAAAAAATTTACTGTAGAGTAACTGCCCATGTTTTACTGTAGGGTCACATTGACAAAATAATGCCTTAGGCAACATCTTTACAATGCATCCCTAAGTTGTGACCAATTCCTGCTTATGTTTTTAGTAACATTTTCTCCCTGAAATATCTGATGAGTATTTTCTGGTTTAGGCTAGCTAGATTTTCATTGTTCCTTCTTCGTGTTCTTTTGTTGCTGGCTTTCCTAACAGTTTTCTGCTTTTTCAAATGGTTGGGGGTTTGGGGTCAATGGGACTCTGTGGTTTATCAAGTCATATTACAGTGGGGTACTTGTCAGGCATTAACATTTTCTGGTAAGCATTTCTGTACAACAGCATTGCAAAAGATAGATTCTTTGGGAAATTCCAGCAGGAGAATTCTTCCACCAGCCTGTCGGTCATTCCTCATGTTGAACTATTCTATTTTTGTTCTTCCCTGATACTACCTATGTGCTGGTTAGAATGCTGTAAGGGAACATGTCAGCTGGCTGTTTAATAGCAGTGGTTTAGGTGTGACTCTTGTTTAGTTGTGCACTCAAAGCTGACATTTAAATGGTACTGTCCAATTATAGAAAATTCCTTGGGCCCTGTGTCGTGTACTCTGCAGTCTGGGAACAGAATAAATCTCCTCAAGCTAAACAGCTTCTGAATGTAAGAGAAAGAGAAATAATAATATTGAACTTAGTTTCTTTAATGCTTTATTTTAACACATTTTGGGAACTCTAAAGCAGAGTTGTAGAGGAGAGGGTAGGAGAAGAGCAGGAACAAGGGACTTCCTTTTTTCCATTTCTCCACAGGCATCTCTAGTGTGATTCATTCATGTGGGAGTTGTCTACCAATGAAATTTATCTCCAATCCGACAGTAACTGAGTGCTTTTAGTTTCCCAAGTAGATTACCTGACTGTCATAACTGGTATGTTTGTGAGTTTCTGGATGGTGTTGGGAATTCCTCTGGATTTACTGGGGTAAAATTAGATCCTTTGAAGCGTGTCCACATGATTTGTCTCATACCAGGATATTCAGGGCAATGATACTGGGTAGTTTTTAATGAAAGTTGAACTTCCTGCTCTTCTGTACATATGACAGAAGTTGGCTGTGTACCTGGGAATGCTTTGAGTCCAAGCACAAGGACTTCCCTGGAGAAAGATAAAGCACCTGAATGTCTGCAGCTCACATTCCAGGAAATTCTGGAGATCTTTCCTAAGAGTCTAAGGTAATATTTTTTTCAAGTCCCTTAAAAATATTTGTAGCTGATAATCTCATGCTGAAGAAGCCAGATATTCTTTTTATATGATCATGTAACAAAACTGCTGAAAAGCAGAGAGGCCTGTAGTGCCTAGGAAGGACACACACAGAAACACTCCTGTTCTTGAGAGACTCTTCTCATGGCTGCATCCTCACAGCTGCAGTGGAGGACTGGGGAATCACAGGGGAAGGATCGCAGTGGGTAAATGTAATTCTGTGCCAAACTCTGAAAGATTTGAGGAACGTAGCCTCTTTCTGGTGGGTATTTCAAAATGTTTGTCAGAATGCTATTTGCAAGTCTTGCACCAGATGGTTTTGTATTATGTGGAAGGAGGAAGGATACAAGGAGGAAGAGAGTACCTAAAAATGCTATTCTTCCAGTTCTGTATGTCCTTCTTCAGGGGAACTTCAGTGTAGGATGAGTTTGTAATCTGCAGATACTCAGAAGAAACCATATTTGTCAAATGCAGGTAAAAATGAATGCAGATGTTCATCATTTGTTAGAGGTCCCTGTGTTTGTAAAAGAGTGAAAGATGCTGAGCAGAGAAGGTACTTGGTGGGAGGGGAGAGTAGCAATGCTGCTTGTGTTAGACGTCTGCAGTTCTTGGTCCAAGCAGGAGTTAAGGGCAGGTGGTGTGGAATAGCATTAACTAAAACTGTGCTAAGATGTTGTTCCAGAATTCTGCTTCATCAGTGCGTGTTTCTCAGCTGCAGAATAAACTTATTTAGCTTCTTACCAAACACATAGTTAGGTATTTATTTGTGGTTTTCCAGCTGAGCAATACAACTTGCAAATATTTAAATAATAAGGCAATAAGATCAACCCTTTTTGCTATGTGAGATAAGCATTTGCAAGCAAATGATGCAATCAAAAACTTTAATATGATGATGAAAAATAGATCTTCTCCTAAATATGCGTGTGTTCTTTAGGAAGAACAAAAACCTTTAATTTACTAAATAAACCAAAGAGAATGAAGAAGCTTGGTAATGATAAGAATTTTGTTTTACTGGGTTCAGTTGTGAGTGGTGCACAGTCTTGGTGAAACCAAGACTGTTGTTGGCAGGAGAGCAGAGTGTGAGTGGGTACTTGGACACTCCTTATGTGCAGAGAGCAAACTGGGCATCCTTCAGTAACTCATAGTGCAGTACAAATAAATTGTCCTTCCACCAAGTGTGAATAGATGCACATCTTCTGACAGAAACAAGGTTAAGGCTTTGGTAGTGCTACACTTGTTTTGGCTGTTTTTAAAGAGAAGTTGCTGAAGTTTATGTGTAGAAGAACAGGATGGGTCAACTAAAAATTAAATTTCCTAAAGAAATGTGAGTGTATGTGAACTTGTAATTCTGTGGCTTATTTTTGTTTCTTGCTGATGAAAATTGTACGGAGTCCTGGAAAGAAATGTTAGTTATTAGAACCAAACCCTGAAAAACAGAGCATGTTATAGCAACATTCTGCTTTTGGGAACATGCTTGGTTCTGTATTAAAATGTTGGAGAAGTCCTTACTCAAAGGAGTCTCTCTGTCTGTCTTGTATTGCTTTCAGAAGGAGAAGGAAAACATTTTTTTTTGAGCAATCCTATTAGATCTCATAATAAACTTCTTTGTGTAAACACTGCAATAATTTCCAGGGCAGCAGATTGTGATGTTGAATTCAGCACTTTGACCTCATTCCAGGCCCAAAGAGGAGCAAACCTTGTAAAGTTTTAGGCAGGTATTACAAAATAACTTCGATAATAAGCAAATTTTAAATTCATAGCCAAATTTTATATAACACAGACTTGTTCATGTCTTCTTCTTAGCAAAGATATTCTACAGATTCAGCTTATCAATGCGAATTTAAATGTTGTGTTTCACATGAATGACTATTCCATTTTAAGACCAGATGTTGGGTTGTGGGACAGTGTATGGTCTGGTTTGGCAGTGTCTGGTCAAGTGCACTTAGAGCTTTTTCCATGTGCAAAAGTGGTACATCTGACCTGTGCTATTTTGAAGTAAATCTGTTGCTTGGTTTAGTGGTTAGAAAAGTTCCTTGGCTGGTTAAGTGAATCCGTTGCTCTGCAGATGTTTCTGGATATGAAATCTGTTGAAAACCACTAATGATACATTTTTTGTTTTTGTATAGGAATGTTACATTTTTGTGGTGATGAATTGGTATGATAGATTAAATCTGTAGTTGACACACAAGATTTAGGGAAATGTTTTTGGGTAAAGTGCATTTTCTTCCTTTGCAGATGCAGCAGGAAAGGAGCTTGTTTAGGTTTTTGGTTTTTTTTTTCTAATCTTAGTTTCTGGAATGGTTGGGTTGTAGGAGGTTTGACGATGATTGTCTGATACAGTCAGACGAATAACAGACCATGCTTTGCTCTGTACTTGTGCTTCTGCGGAGCATGGGTTAGAAGATGAGAGCTCTTCTGTGTGTGCCCTCCTTTTCCATATTTCAGAGATTTCAGGTGCCTGTCAGATCCCAGGAGCTGTCCCTCTGCTCCAGGAGGTGCCAGGTGGTTGCTGTGTAGTTGGGCACCTTTCTGAAGGGTGTTCTTTGGCCAGGTGTGGGAATTGCTCTGGCTCAGGCTAGCAGAGGGCAGGGCTGAGGACTCCTCTGGCATTAAAGGTGCAGTGTATAAGTTTAATTTGTTCTTAAACAACTGCACAGGTTGTTGTTTGTGCAGTGCTTTGATGGGGGGGGTGTGTGTGTGACAATTTGCAGTGATTTTTAACTGAGCTTCTGAGGACATGTCTATAGGTTGGTGTTCTTCAGGTTCCTCTATCCTTACCCTCTTATTCATGATTCCCTTGCACTTAGGGGGATTATTGATGGAAATGTCTGTCTAGAGTGCCTTCTCTTGTGTTTCAGCATCTTTGCTGTGTTTCACTTGAAAGGCCTTTATGGCCCTTAGCTTTGTGCAGTGTGAGAGATGAAGAAGACTGCTGCTGGTTTTATATGACATGACTTTGTATGACATTTGGCTTAATGTTGTAGTTTGTTCTTTTTCCTGAGACATTCACATTTTTATGGGGCTTTTTTTCGGCTTCACATTGCAGCCAGTGGGTGCTTTTCTCTGTCTGATGTCATATGTTGTTACTGGTATTTTAAGTCGTGTTCTGAAACAGGAGAAAATGTCATATTTCAGTCAGTTGATTTCTGCTAGAAAGTTGTATCTGTATTTTGTTCTGAAATTGTTGTAGGACAGATGAAGCAGTTTCTTTCCAAAAATTCTTGTGTTTTCAGGGAGGTAATGTGTCTTCTTTGCATATGCTGTTTGGTATATTCTGGTCTGGAGCGTGAATTCTCTCTGTTGTGTTGATTGTATTTCACTGTGCATGAAATGAAAGACCAAGAAAAACAAGGCTAAGTATAGTTTACTAAATTTTCTACACTACATAATAACGCTCCTTTTCCTTTTGACTTAAAGCTTTGTAAGTGATCCAGTATTCATAATCACGAGTGTTCCCGGGAAGGTGTGCTGTGTTTTGATTCAGATGTTCAGTGTGTTGAAGAATAAATTATAATATAAATGCAGGGCATCTTGCATATGGCGTCTATGCTAAATATTTTTCTCTAAAATGAATTCTTATGTGAGCAAAGTTAAACTGGTATAATTTGGAACAGTAGACTTTAGGCAAAATTGCAAGTAGATGTGTGTGAATATTGATTATTGTGCTCAGTAGCATGTGAAAAACCTCATCGTGCCTCAAAGCGCTGCTGCCTTAGTGGACTTAAAATCCTTTATTTAGCTGTCGCTAAGGATTTGTGTTGAGGGTTTTTTTAATTTCTTCTTTTACATCACACCATTGGCCTAGGTGCTGTAGTTCAGTGGCTTTCCCTGGCCTTCCACTGTCAGGCAGGTAGTGTTTTGGCCAAAGGATGGTGGAGTTCTGTCTGATACAGTCCAAACCTTGTCATCTCAGAGAACCCAATTCATATATTCTGAAAAAAAAAAGCAGGGAATGGTAATTGCAGCTGCAGAATAACCCTCAGAGGAGGGAAACACTTGACAAATTGACTTAAATATATCTCTGTGTGTCCTTAGGTGTAAGATACCTTTGTCTTAACTGCTGGGTATTCCAGCACAGCAGGTCAGATGTTGTGTGCCTCTTTGGTAAGAATCAGCATTTACAGGACTAATACTTCAAAAGTGATGCTTTGCAGATGATGTGAAGGGAAGAACTAGTTTTTGTTTTCTCTGGTGAAATAACTTCTTTCCTAAAAATGCTGCTTCATGTTCTTCCTTATGGAAGATGCTGCCTCATCCTGGACTGGTTGTGTGGCAGGTACTTGTGGCTTACTTGCACTTACACTGCAATGCCTCTCCTTTTTGTTTGTTTGTTTTCTTCTCTTTGTTCAAAACGTTGGGTTTTGTTAAATAAGAGAAGACTACAGTAAGAAACATAGCAAAGCCCACTGCTCATAGTCATGAACTCAATAAGTAATTGAGAGAGACTATTCAATGTAATCTTTTAGAACTATAAATATTAGGTAAAAAACCCTTTATGAATAGCAAGCTTAAATCTGTCACTTTTCACAAAAGCATGTAGTGATATGACAAGGGAGAAGGCCTTTGCTGAGGGAGAGTAGATTTAGATTAAATATTAGGGGGAAATTATGCCCTGGGGGGGTGACGAGGCCCTGGCACAGAGTGCCCAGGGAAGATGTGGCTGCCCCACCCCTGGAAATGTCCAAGGCCAGGTTGGAGGGGCCCTTGGAATAACCAAGCATAACTGGGGTAATGGAAGGTGTCCCTGCCCATGGCAGGGGTGGGATGAGATGGGCTTTGAGGTTCTTCCAACCCAAAACATTCTGTGAATTCAGGATAAGTCAGGTATTTACAACATTGGTATATGGTAAAAACCTCCATGCCACAAGATTTTTTCATTGATGCTTTTTCTTGAGTAGTTATCTTCTAGGTGCTTACTAGCAGAGGTTGCTTATTTTAACATTGAAATAGTTTTTATTAGTAGTAAATAAGT